CCCGTCACACTTGGAAACATCCATGCAAAATTTCCTCTTTGCTTTGTGCTTTCTTCATAAAAGGTGTTTTCCTAAATAGGATTCTCCGTCAATCCCGGCTTAGGCACAGCTCAGTACTGAGCGAGTAAAGGCTGTCTAAGACACTTAAAGCCAGAGGGTGTTACACAAGGGGTGGATGCAGGGCGTTACGTTGGGTTAGGTTTGGAAATGTTGCTTACATTTGCTCCCTGTTGGAAGAGTTTTGTCCTTGCCTATCTCTTGGATATCCTTTGGGGGGGAAAAACAGGGAACTGGATTTGCTTTTCCTCCCCGCCAGCACTGTGCCCTATAAGGCCCCAGAAGGATGCCCGCAGCAGCACCGTGTTCCCAAAGCTGGGGTTACTGAAACCAAAATCAAACTGCCTTCGGGCTGTCTTCATTGGCTGGGTGATAGTTAAAAAAAACAGGGAGAAATTCAGTAGATTTCTAGTGTCTTTTCAGCCTTAATAACCTAGTGCTGCTGCCGACATGCAGAACAAAAATTGCCATTTTAAACAGATGTATTTATTAAATATTACTATATACTGTATCGCTTATATTGTCCAAATACATAGAGCGTGCACACTATATAATGAATATTACGTATGTTACATTCAAGGTTGTGTATATATACCTAACACAGGTGTGTGTCTAATAACAGGCTGAAGGAGAGCACTCTCGTTCCCCGTGTTGGTGCACCAGCCTGGCCAGGACAGTACAAGAAAAGAGAGGATGGTTCCAGCATCCCGATACGACCTTTGCAATGCTGTTTCACCCCAAATTTTCATACATTTTTCCTTGGCCTCTCCAGCCATCGCTGGGTCCCCAGGACGAGAGTTGTGTCCTGTGCAATACCTGGGGGCAGAGACCCCACCTCGATGTGCAAAATGTCCCTGGGCTGAAGTTTCGCCGGTAGCTGCCCATCAGCAGGTGAACATTGCCTGCAAATCCCCCCAGGTAAACGTCACTCTGCGTGGCCAAGGCCATCCTTGACGGCCGCTGTCTGGACGACAGGACAAGCAGGAGCAAGTTGTCAGCTCAAAGATATATTGAAGCGTTATCTGGACTATCCTGGAGGTGAACAACTGTTTGAATTAGGGCGTTTGCACGTGACCACGTCCTGCTGTAGATACACAGCCTTACTGGATTTGGTCTTCTCGTTTCTTGTCTTTCCAGCGTTTGATGTTGTTTTTTACATTATCCCCTCGTTGGGTGAGTCTCCCACACATTCCAACCTTTCTACCGGCCTTCTGGTGATATCTGAGATTGGATCTGCGTGATTCATGCCACTGTCTCCTCCAGCCCTTGGGAAAGCAAGTTCCTTCATTTAAAGGACTTTCTTCCAGCACTGGCAAACATTTGCAGGTAGAAGGGCAAAAAGTACCATCTCTCACTGCGACTGATCCGAACACACAAGTGCATCGGAAGTGCACGAGTGTTTGCATGCTGGAAGAAATTGTTTCCATGTTCTCTGTGCATTAACTCTGCCAATTCTGTGCATCAGGGCCCCGGGGAATTCAACAGGCGCTGCGTGGAAGAGGCGTAGGATGCTCCTGCTTCACTCAGCACTTGCACCTCCTCGGTCGAGCCCAGCCCCAGCTGCCAAGCTTCGGGAAAGGTGTAAATGATCCCGTGGAACCTGCGGGAACATGTTCCTCCCTCCAGTGCATGGCACGAGGACGTTTTCCTCGTAGGAGCTGGACTTGCTACAAAATGTGGTGCACCAGGAGTGAGTGCAAACTCCAACCGGGCTGAGCCGGGAGACGTTCTTCCCCCAGGGTCTCCTTCGGGCATCTTGTAGTAGTTTCTTCCCTTGCAGCTGCCATGAAGTAACGTATTAAATGGGATTTTCCACTCCCAGAGCCAGATGATGAAGGACGGTGCAGTGGCCGCAAAAAAGCCGTTATCCCTGCAAGAAGACGAGTGAGTAGCTCCGTGGGGAGGTGCACGGTGAATGCGAGAAGGTCCCTAACAAGGAGAAAGCCCAGCAGAAAGCACAGCCCCACGCCGAGGCAGGGCCAGCCCCGGGAGAGGGGCAGGGGAGGCAAGGCAGGACGGACAAAAGGACGAGTGTCCATGCACAGGGAAGGACAGGAGACGTCTGACCTGGCAAGGGGAGAGCAGCACCCCAAAAGTTGGCAGCTCAGACCCATGAGGACTTCATGGCATGCTCAGATACCCCAGGCTTCCCTTGGGATGCTTGAAGCCCAAGAGGAGCTGGGCTTTGGGGACACACCTTGGGGGTCTGCCGGCCAAGGGGGTGCACAGCCACGTCACAGCATTTCCCACAAATCGCCCTGTCCTGCAATGAATTACGGGGGGCTTCTCAAGGCGGAGGGGGCACGCAAAACCTGCCCTGCACCCTGTCCCACTGCAAACACCGAGGCCCCGGGACAGCATCCCAGGGCGCAGCATCCTCCCTGGCCCAGTGCCACGCTCCCGTGAGACGAAACCTTGTCATCATCCTCTTAGTGACAGCAAAATTTGCATTAATTAGCTCATTAATGGGCTGATTTTCTAAGCTGCCCTCCCCCACCTGGCGCTCAACAAAGCAGGATTAGCGAGGACTAACGACTTCGGAGACGCAAGATCCCAGAAGTAGCCTGAGATGCTTTTCGGGAGAAGGCCCCCACCACTGGCATTGAGCACCGGGCGGGCAGGGGGCTGTGCGGGGTGCGGAGCCACTTTCTGCCCGGGCAGGATCAGTGCCCAGATGGCTGGTGTCCATGATCCCAGGGATTTTCGAGCAAGGCGATTGCTTTAGCTGTTTGAAGCCACGGCAGGGCGTTTAGGGAAGGATGAAGGTAATACCAAGAGTTGGAAACCGATCAAAACCCCGGGGCTAATAACTTGCCCTTCTTTAATACCTTCTTAATATCTTCAGTGGCCACAGGCAAGCATGTTCTCAATTTTATAACTAAGAGTTTAAGCCAAGACACTGGAGTCGCTCACGAGAAGGGACCTGGGCTCTGGGAGCCGCCAGCCCCAGGGTGCTGCACTAACGGCAACCGCGGCTGCTCCCATCCTCATCCCACCGCGCCGGGCTGGAGCAGCATCCCTGCTTTGGGTTGGGTTATTTGGCACCAGGAGCCTGTTGTGCAAAGGGCTGTGCAGGTTTTGCTCCTTGTTTCCCCGGCACCGCTGCCCCGATGGGTGGGAAAAGGTCCAGCGACCACAAAAGGAGGGTGTTTGGTTTAGCCGTGATATCGGGAAAAGCACAAGAGGAGGAAATGGGAGAGATGAGTTGTTTTTCTCACTGGTGTTTTGCCTGGCAGGCACGTCCCACGTGCTGAGGTAAGATGATGTCCCCCGGGAAGTCAGCGAGGAGACAAAACCCTTTTCTGCTCCATGCAAATCCCAACCCGCGCCTGGCACCGCATGAGCTCAGATGCAAAACAAATCGCGTGATCCTCCCGCCGGGTCCCCACCATGTCCCCACCACCAGCTCGCCCTGCCCCGGTCACAGCCCCAGCACAGTCCCCCGGGCTCCGGGCAGGGGACGGGAACGTCGTGACAGTTTGCAAACAGACGAAAGCGGTTTCGGTTTCTCCTGCAGTAAAAGTCTCCCAGCTGGGTTCCTGGCCAAAAGGAAACATGGTGCTTGTTGCTGGCATCACCGGACAGGACCCAGGAGCCAGATTTGATGTTTTTCACAGTCCTAATTACTCTGAGCTAAATTAGATGGAGCCCCTGCAAGGTATCCCTGCTCCTTGGGGCTTTTCGGCAGCCGGTGATTCAACGCTCTGTGGCTTTATCAAACATTTCCTTGAAGGCTTAGCAAACAGGGGGATGCTGATCTGCCTGGGGAAGGGCTGCTTCCTTCGTGCAAGGACTGTGCTTCCTCATTTTGTTTTAGTTAGGGTTTTACAAGGACTGAAAAGATCGCATCCTCCAGGAGAGGAGGGTAAGAGAGGGGTGCTGGGCAGATGCGGGACTGTCACCCCATGCACGGCACTGACCCAGACCCGCAGGTTTGTTTGCCGCCACCATCACCTTCAACCCACTAGATCATCCCACCTCTTGCACACTGCAAGCCCCAAAATTTTGTCCCCTTCGCCCCAGGCTGGGTCCAACCCTGGCAAGGGAGATGCTCCTGCCCATGGCACCACGCTGAGCGCTGGCAATCCCCCCCAGGCTGCCTTAATCCATGGCCCTACTTAGGGGTCTGGGCAAAGATTAGCTGAGAACATTCCCAGCGATTAGGGTTTAATTGCTTTGACATTTCACATCTTCTTAGGCTTCATAGGTGAGACCCCGGCAGCCGTAAATCCCCTCAGTCCTCGAGGGAGCGACAGCGAGGGCAGCTCCTGCGCCACTCGGGAACAAGCTTTACCCAGTTCTTGGTGTCAGATCAAGCTGCTTTGGCTAATAAATCTCCTTCTGCTGGAAAGGCTATAAATAGTAAAAAATAGCAGGACCGCACCGTGTATCTGCTGTAAGACTCCCTTTGTGCCACGTCACAACTGGCTTGAAAGGAGCAGCCCACAAGAGCTGTAGCAAAGCAAACGTTATTCCATGTGTAACGTCCGTACACATCACACATTAGACAAGCCTGGCTGTCATTTAGGGACCAATTTATTTGAGTTGTAGGGTTTTTTCCCTGAATTGAACACTTGGCCGACAGCAGAAGCTACCAAAATTATGTACATTCACAGATACGTATAGAAAAGCAGGTAAATAAATACATATACACGAACACAAGCAAACCATGAGGTTCAACACATGCACTTGGTGAGAGCTAAAATACAAATACAGGGTGAAATTTGGGGTTTGTTTGATTTACAGACTCCTTGCCACCAGCCAGGTGAGTTTTAAGCTGTTCAAGCTGCTGTGGCTATCGCTGTGGTTTTCCTTAGAAGATTTTAAATCCACAGCTCAGACAGTCACCCCACATCCAGGTCACCAGCAGGGACTGTCCCCCCCATCAGTAAATCTGCATCCTCGGGTTCCCAGGCACCGCAGGCCCTTCGGAGCAGCCGATATCAGTCCGGGCTCTCACAGTTGTCTTTGCTGAAATTCTCTCTGTCCTGTTGAGACAGAAGAAAACATCCGTGAGGTCCCTTCCCGAACTGAGCTGGTGCTATTGGTCTGCTAGATGGCTTGAGGAGGAAATTCTTCCCGAGGAAAGCTGCGGTTGCACCAGGTTGCAGCAATGCCGTGCTCTACAGGGCATCTCCTGGCTGCGGAGACGCCGCGGGTAGGGAGCAAAGCAAGTCCTGCTCCTTCTGTGTGCATGGGCCATGCATGCTCTTGGAGAAAGGCAAAGGCAGCCCAAACAGCACAGGGTAAGATCCAGCACCTGGTCACCCCCCCGGTATGAGCCAGCATGACTGCCACCCACCCTGGTCTAACGATCACCCTAAAATTACAGCAATTTTAGGGCAATTGCCCTAACCTGCTGTTGGAAGCTCAGCCCTGGACTTGGTCCTCTTCCCTACCTGGAGAATTTTGCTGTAGGACAAGGGTGCAAACGAATCTTCCAGGTAGCGGGTGCCGAAGCCCATGATCCTGTTCACTGCCTGGTTGCAGATGCCCGCCACCTTGGCGGTGAGGTGCACTGCGAAGGCAAACTGGATCTCTTGCGGGTTGATGTCAGGTCTGCTGGCCGTCATTTCCTTGCGGACGTAGGCATCGGCCAAGTTCTTGAAGGAGCTGTAGGACATGTCTCTGAAGAACATCCGTAGCCGTGCATCTTCCTTCACCTGGTTAAGAAGCAAGTGAATACACGTGTTACGAGCACGTGTCATCCTCGCATCGATGCCTTCACTGCACGCTAGGATTGCAGCTGAGGGAGGACAGACAGACAGCCACGATCACACCCAGTCGGGGAATTAAAAGATGCCATTTCCTTGATTTTACTGAGCGTTTCCCTGCACCAGGGAAATTGATGGTGTTGCTGTATTTTACAGCAGTACAGAGCTTGGCCCAAATTCCCTCGACCCCATCCAGCTGACCACAGCTCTCCTCTCACCTGCCTGTCCAGCTCATCTCCTGCTTTCTGGAGCAGGGCAACGATTCTCCTGATGGCTTCATCTGCAGAGAGAGATCCCGCGTTATCTCCAGCCCTTTCTCCAAGCCTCACACCCAAATGCTCTGTTTAGTCCCCAGGAAAAATTCCCTGAGCAATGTTTATCCACCTCCATCCCTCCAAAATCCATTTCAGCCTATTGCCAAGTGCTTTGTTATCCTCAACCAGCAAAAACACCCTCCTGCCTTTGAATTTCTCTCTCCCCAAATCAAGCCCTGATGCTGAAAATCTCCCCCAAAGTCTTCATATCACTGTTCAGGTCACACAAGCCCCTGGGTTAGGCTCGAAGCAGGGTTTGGGTCCCGTGCAGGCTCTGCATGGGGACAAGTCTCGTGCATATGTTTTCTATACGTGCCAGCGGTGAGGCGCTTGCAAGGGCAACACTCACCGACCCCATCGGTGCTGGCCGGCCGTGGTGGCTCCCCACATCCACCTGCTCTGCTCCCCTGGCTCTCGCTGCCCTGCACGATCAGCCCGATCTCTTCCGAGACTTGTGCGTAGTAACCATCGGGTTGCTCCACGTCCGCTGGAAGAAAAACATGTATTCAGAAGCAAGGATTTTTTTTTTTTTTGTTGGCCATTGATTGAAAAGGAAAAGCAGCCGCAGCGGTGACTGCATCCACGTGGTGCTCATGCCCACCCTGGATTAGTGCATGCCGCCGGTGAACGATGGGGCTGTGCTCTCTGAACCGTAACCGAGCGGCTGCAACTTGCCCCGAATCAGCCGAAGCTTCGCGGAAATCCCCTCACCGGCTTTTCGGCAGGGGAAGGGCTGGGGCGGCGACGGGGGTGTCCCACGGGCTCTGCCTGCACCCTTCCCCGCAGCAAATCGAAAGCAGCTTAATGTTGGCCCTAGAGTGGCTTAAGATTTAATCTCAGGTCTCGAATGCAGGTTTAAACTAAACCACCATGTCCTTTGTTTGCCAGAGGGGGGAAAACCTGTGCTTGGATGGTTACTGCCGAGCAGCTGGCTTGGGGTCACTTGCTGCGCTCACCAGTTGGAGCGCTGACTCCAAAGCACGGGCAGATTGACCCTTTCCTGGGGCAGCAGGTTGAGACTGGAGTCCCCAAAACCTATCCCAAACCCCAGAAAGCACTGGGTGGGTGATGTTTAGGTTAGAAACCAGCACTAAACACTATAGCTTTCCCAAAAGAAGCCCAACGGAGGTCCCATTGGGTTGGTTTAGGGGCAGGGTTAGGGGTGGTGGGGGGTCCCACCTGGCATGGTCGGCGCCTGGATGTGCCACAGGGGAAGGCAGCTGGGTCGCTTGGCCCTCGCCCCGGCTGCCAGCTCTCCCCGCTCCTCCTCCGCATGCTTCTTGAAGGAGAAAACCCTCTTGAGGCTGGGTCTCCTCTTCGGGGCTCTGCCCGGCGGCAGGGACGTGCTCGAATCCCCTCCGGGTCTTTTAGCCCCGTCTGATTTGGAGCTGTGAGGAGCTTTAGCATCTTTCTCCTTTGCTTTTTGCCCTGCGTTTTCCTTCTGGTCCTCAGGGCTCTTCTTGAAGAGGAAATTTAAGAAACTTTTGAACCAGGTGCGCTGGGTTTTGCCCTGGGAAGAGTTTTTTGTGCTTTTCCTCTTGGGCTCCGGCTCCTCTTTAGGGACCTCCCCGGGAGCTTTGCTGTCATCGTCCAGGTCCGGTGCTTTGGGTCCCTCCTCCTGGTCCTTCTTGGGGCTGAGTTTGGCAGGCGAATACTTGCAGAAGTCACTTTTCGACCGTTGCAGCCCGCCTGACTTCCTTGCTCGCCCTCCGGCTCTCTCCTGAAGCCTTTTTTTGGCCACCAGCGAGTTTTCGCAGCAGCTCAGCGAGCGCCTGACATAGATCTCCAGCACTTTCTTGGCCCCTTGCCTGTCCAGCGAGAGGATCTTGCCCGACGGCTGCCTCCATGCGTCCAGCCGAGGCTTCTCCTCAGCCAAAGCCTGCATGTTGCTGTGGAGGAAAACAACGTTTTCAGCCTGATTTTTGCTTTCCCCAGGACGCTGCGCGGTCAGGTTGGGCACGATGGAAATCACCTCCATTTTGCTTTGGGTGTCTGAGATTGTTTATGCTCCCAGTAAATCATCAACCCCTTTTATAGTTGTTATCTGAGCGCTCCTTACGCAGGCTGCACACGCAGGGTTTTACGATGGGCTATAGGCACCGCGAAGGAGGAAGCGAAACTCCAGGGAGGGGGGAGACGAGCTGGGCACGTCTGAGAGGGAGAGCCTGGTTATCATCCAGAGGGTTTGACCCAGCAAGGGTATCATCCAGATACCGTGGTGCCGTATCTTCCTATTGCAACATATTCCCATACTACGATGATAAACTACACGCCAGGAGCACCTCTCTCCCGATGAATCGCACAACCCAGATTTTTTAGTATCTCCCCTTAAAGTATTGACTGCTAAAAGAAAAAAACATTCCCCAGCAAGGCCGGGTGCTTCCAGCCCTTGGAGGGGCCGAGGGCAACGTGGGCTCTTGCAAATATCCTCGGTCACTGCCAGTATTGGCTGAGCACCTTGCGATGGCGCAGCCCCTCCATGAGCTCTCACCAGCGTAGGGCTGCTAACGGAGCTCAGAGCGCCTGGTCCTTGCCTTTCCCATCACCCTTTTCCTCCACAATTTCAAGCAAAATTAAACAGATGTTACTACTGAAAAAACCAGAGAGCCATGCCAGTGCCTCGTGGTGGCTCTACTTCCGAAACCAATTTCACCCTTCAGAAAACCAGACCCAAACCAGATCTTCTCCACCGCTGAACAGCACACGGGAAGCCCACCCCAAAATCCGGCACGCTCGGCTGCACGAACCGCCCTGGAGCCGGGCATCAGCCTCCGCTCCGTCTAGATGAGCATCGTCACAACACACAAGCACACCCACCCACCCCAACTTGGCCTTTTTTTGGATCAAGAAGGCAAGTTGCCTTCATCCAAGCCAACACCAAAGCCAGCCGACCACCCGCTAATAAATCATACAACTAGATTTAATCACAGCAAAGCAACAACCTTCATCCTGCTTCGATTGATTCCAGTACATTGGCCACATCATTCTTTATTTGCTCGTTTTGTATTTACCTTTCCATCAGTATTTCTGTCCTTCTGGACATATGTCAAGACAAGCTCCTTGGCCGCGGGCACTAATGGTTGCCAGGCTCTCCTGGGAGGTGCCTTTTTTATACCCGGGGCTGGTGGCTGGCTGAGTTAAGTCCTATTTTTAGCAGCCATTCAGGTAGGAGAGCGGCCAACGCTTCCGCCTGGGATCTCCGCTATCACCTCCCTCGTGGCGGAAAACCAGCGGGCGTGAGTTTCGCTGGAGGAGAAAACCATTTCCTTATGACAAATAGCAAAACAGCATAAAAATCATCTGTCACCTGCTGTAAGCGCTGGCCTTTGAAACCAGCTATCTAAGCCAGCTGTTTGGCGTTTGGTTTTGGTTTGGTTTGGGTTTTTTTTAATGGGTGTGATGCCATGTATGGGCTTTTCTGTTTTCGTAAGGAGAAGCCATAACTTTCTCAGATAAATGGGGTTTCAATGCGGCAAGCAGATCACCCCACTCACATCCCAGGAGCTCCCAGGAAAGTGGATGTCAGGGGCTGTTGTGGGACCGCAGACGCTCTGGGGCACGGTGCTATCAGGTTGTTGCCTAACACCCAGCATGGCTGGGCTGCAGCATCTTTGAAACCCACCCTGGGGTCCTTCAGACAGCCCGTGCACCCACCCTAAAACACGAAACAGGACTGGCTTCGTGACCCGAATCCTTTGCACCCACGTGGCTCCCACTCAGCCTTGCCCAGGGGAGAGCATCTCCCACACGACACAGACCTGCGCACCCCAACATCTGCAATCTGCCCCTTGGCCAAACAAATCTTCAGCCTTTCTTCTTACACCAGAGATCCGTTTGGCCCCACGGCCATCCCCCTGCACCCCTACCCCTGTTGCCCCCTCCCGCCGGTTGCTGCCTCCCATCCTCATCGCTATTTTGCCATCTGATGGCAATATTTTGCACTGCACCTTGCAGGGACGGTGCTGGATGCATTTGCCAGGTAGTGGCTGGCGGCACGCGCGGTTTTGGGAAACCCCCC